GGGGAGGGGGAGGGAGAGGCAAACTGAGGGAGAGGGAGGGGCAAATGGGGGAGAGGGAGGGGCAAACCGAGGAAGAGGGAAAGAGACAGCAAGAAGTTGAAAAGGAAAATGAGGAGGATGGGAGGGATAAGGGAGTAATTGGAGGTACCAACTGGGGTAGATTTTATAAAAATAGATTATATGCATGGATGAAATTCTTAAGCAAAAAAAAGAAATAAACCCCCACCTATACTTATTTAATAAACCCCAATCTACACTTATTTTTTAAATTGTCAATGAATTTTACCAAGTTTGAAATAGGCTGGGGAGGTTGTCATATGCTTTTAAATCCAGCACTTGAGAGGCAATGTAGGCATACATATCTCTGTTAGTTTGAGGCCATCGCGTTCTACACAGATCCAGGCTATCCAGGAATGCATAGTGAGACCCTGCCTCAAAAAAAAAAAAAAAAAAAAAAACAGAAACAAAAACAAACAAACAAAAAAACAAGTGGCTGGAGCGATGGCTCAATGGTCAAGAGCACTGGCCGTTCTTCGGGAGGCCCCAGGTTCAATTTGCAGTACCCACATGGCGGCTCCTAACTCTCTGTGATTCCAGTTGCAGGGGACTCATCACCCTTTCCTGGCTTCCAGGCATACACTCAGGCAAAACACTCATATGCACAAGATAAAATGAAGACACGCGAACAAAATGAAGTAACAACAAAAGAAGTAACTCCTTTTCTTTTGCAGAAGAAAAAAATGTGTTCACTTTATGTCTCATACAACGTGAAGACACTAGAAATAAAATCATCACTCTAGAGCTAGGGGTGTGGCCCAGGGCCAGAGCCCATTCCTAGCAAGCCTGAGCCTGGGTTTCACCCCTAACATAGCAAAAATGAGTCTAACTCTTTCTTACTCTAGAATTCAAGCTTTGTCTTATAGATCGCTGTGAGAATCCACCCTGTTTCTAAGACACCCGTGACTAGCCACAGACATTTACCAGTGACAGCCAGCTGGATGTTCCTGTTGACAACGCCAGGGCTTCGTTTCACTCGGCACTGATAGGTGCCGGCATCCGACAGCTGGATACTTGTTATATTTATGGATGCGTCCCCAGACCCGATGTCGTTACTGGTAAAATGCACTCGTCCTTTTAGATCTGGATAGAAGTCATCGCAAATTTTGTCTGCAGAATATAAAATAACCTGAAAGAAAATGAAAACAGAAGGAAAAAATAATAAACTGACTAAAAACCGAACCAAACCGAGCGTACTTGCGCGCATGCGTGTGGTCTCCTGCGGATGATGCCACTGAGGACCGAGGAAGGCACTGGGTGCCGTGTTTTGTATTTGCTATCTTATCTTATTCCTGAGAGAGGGTCTCAAATTGAACCTGGATGTAGGCGCGCAGCCAGAAAGTCTCAGCCATCGTCCCGCCTCTGCGCTTCGCATGAGTTACCACACATGGCTCCTCGCATCCAGGCTAGGGATTCCATCACAGTTCCTTGTGCATACACCTCTTCTCACCCACTAAGCCAACACTCCAACCCAGTGTTGATCTCTTAGATAAAATGTGTCCGATGAAGCTAATGCAGCATTTGAGATAAAACAAAATATTAAAGAACTGACTAAAAGACAAATGTGATGCAGGGACTCGGAGCCGGGATCCTTGGATATGCCTCCTCCTCAGAGCTTTCTTTGCCTTTCCATTTGGCTCTGATCACTTTGATTATAGAAAACTTGTGCAAGTCGGGCGGTGGTGGCGCAAGCCTTTAATCCCAGCACTGGGGAGACAGAGGCAGGTGGATCTCTGTGAGTTCAAGACCAGCCTGGTCTACAAGAGCTAGTTCCAGGACAGACTCCAAAGTTACAGAGAAACCCTGTTTGTCTCAGAAAAACAAAACAAAACAACGAAAAAAGAGAAAACTTCTACAGGAATATTTTATATGATTTCTATAATTTAACACTGATATTTTACAGGCTTTATAATTCTGCTTGTTTGTTGTTTTATTTGCTACAGGGCCTTACTGTGCAGTTCAGGCTGCACGTAAGGCTACGTAGGCCAAGCTGGCCTCAAACTCTCAATCCCCCTGTCTCAGCCTACCTACATAGAGAAGGACTGCATGCATGTGCTGCCATGCTCAGCTTTTCCTTTGCTTTGAAAGAAATTCACTGTGTGGGAGAGTGAACATGGAATGAGGAGAACAGACTGTGGGAATGTGGACGCTCACCATACTGTGTACATCTCGTGAGCCCTTTGCTGGGTATAGGAGCCAGGTGCAGTGAGGTACACTTGCATACCAGAACTGAGGAGGGGAGGTTAAAGTAGGAGTCTGACTGGGTCCTGGACCCCTCCTCTTCTGAAATCTCCGGTCATTCTATGTTCTCAAGCTGGGCAGTGGGCCTTCCAGCCACGATACCACGCCTGCCTAGTGAGACTGAGCAGGCACAGGGCACACTCACCACATGGTCCATCACTTCGTTATTAGGTCCTGAAAGCCGAAGCCACTCAACGTCCAGTGGTCCTTGGTCCTCGGGGCTAAGGGTGAACATGCAGGGCAGGTGCACAGTTTCCCCTTGGGCTTCCTGAACTGTCTGCTCTGGAGTGTTGATGCTCATACTCCCAGTGAAATCTGGAGAGGGAAACATGGGCATGACCCTGAGCATCTGCTGTCACTCACTGGCTGAAGCCAATCAGGAGACAGGAGAAGGAGATGTGGGTGAGACCTGGACCTAGAAGGATGCAGTCCCCTCCCCTGGATGCCCAGGTTTTAGTTTGTGTCTTCATGAAAATGGATGTGGACATTATGTCATCCTATATGATTCCCTTAGAGCACCACCCACTTCCCAGAGTTGTACTGACACAAGCTTCTACTAGTGAGTGCTCGCTCTTCCCAGCAGATGTAGACAAGGAGATTTAGACAGAGTTTCTGGGGGTCAGTTTTGTCTATAATGTAACGTCGAATTGATTCATGCTAGCCACAGTACCACAGGCTCCTGGGGACTCTGGGCAGGGCACACTTGGGTAAATTTTGATGCATTTTCTACCAAACAGTCTTTAATTATCAATTTTATGAAATCAGATTCTATAATTTCTTGATGTTTTTTGAGACAGGTTTTCCTCTATGTAGCCTTGGCTCTCCTAGAACTTGCTCTGTACACCAGGCTGGCCTTGAACTCATAGAGTTCCACCTGCCTCTCCCTCCTGAGTTCTGGGATTAAAAGTATGGACCACCACAAGCATGCAGTGCCCTCATAAACCAGAGAAGGTGTCAGATTCGTTGGGATTTAAGCATTACAGAGAGTTGTGTGCCTTTATGTGGATGCTAGGAATCAAACCCAAGTCCTCTGAAAAAACTAGTGTCTTAACCACTGAGGCATCTCTCTGGACCCGAGAGCTCATACCTTGATCCACAACCAGGAGGTGGAGAGCATACTGGAAATGTACAAATCTTTTGATACCTCAAAGCCTGCGCACAGTGATGCACCTCTTCCAACAATGCCACGGACCTTCTAACCCTTCCCAAACAGTTCTACCAACCAGGGACCAAGGATTCAAGCACATGAACCTATTGGGGCCATTTTCATTTCAGCAACACATACAGTAAAAATAGACAAAATAGAATTTTAAAAATGCAAATTTAGATCTGGGCCTGGTGGCTCACGCCTTTAATCCCAGAACTCAGGAGGCAGAGGCAGGTAGATCTTTGTGAATCTGAGGCCAGCCCGGTCTACAGAGTGAGTTCCAGGCCTGCTGAGGCTGTTTCAACACCCTCCACTCTCACCCTTTCCCCAAAAAGACAGCCTTTAGAAGCTATCTTGTGCCTCCTGATATGAAAAGACACGGCAATGCTTTTGTCTGATGCAAGCTCTGGAATGTGGCCAGATTATGGACAGCTGTTGAGTGCATTTAATCACAGGTGCTTTTGCTAGGTAAATATTTTCTGTTATTTCTAGTAGCTCAGTTTTATCTCTACATCCTGTACTAGGGCAATTACCCACCCATCCCCACTGCCTGTAACCGTTTATTGCCTCTACCTGTATTTCCCATATGGTACTTGGCATACGCTGGCTTGGATTTTCTTTGCTTTAATAATTGCTATGGTGGCACTCATGGGCAGAGTTTCATCACTGCTCATGACGGTCATGTCATTTCCCCAAACCACCTCATACCCTTGGGACTTTTAAAAATCTTTATCCTGCTGAAGCACTAAACCATTAGCCCCATTGGGACAGGAGGAATCGTAGGTTCCTCTGCCCCCTGTTTAGCTGCTTTCATACTGAAGAGAGCTGGTGCCTCAAGGAACGTTTGGTGACATAAAAATACTGAATGAGGTTCCCCTAAGTTCAACTCCCGGAAGAAGGATTCTGAAAAATCATAAATGTGCCAGAAGAAACCCCTGAAATTTCAGCAGTTTATTGCCAGTACTGAACTTCTCTAATCATGAGTATTTTATGTTTCCAGAGAAGATTAAGTTTCTAAGTATACTACAGTATGAAAATGTCGCCTAAAGCAGATGCAGATATAGTCCCCAAATATGGAGATACCGATGTAGAAACGAGGGCTGGGGAGGTGGCTCAATGGTAAAGGCGCCTCCCACCAATCTTGACAGCCATGTGGTGGAAGAAAAGGAACGAACTCTTGAAAGATGTCCTCCGACTTACACATGTGAGCTGTAGCACACACATGCATAACACACACATCCATACACACACACAAATAAGTAACATGTAAATATTAAAAACACGTACATGTATACGAGAACCGATATTTTCTAACTAGCAAGGAAAATGTCCTGGCTTCTATATGTCACCACAATTCTTATTTTATAGACTCACACAAAAATGTAATTATCTCCATTAAACATTAAACATGTAAAAGTCCAAACCTTCCTATTTTATGCTCAATTCTTACCCCACTTCGACAGTCATCAGAAGAAAATACAACTTAGTTTGCAAAATCTATCTTTCACCCCTTCTTATTTGCCACACAGAAATGCTGTTGTTTTGAAAGACTGCCTGCCAGGCTGGATGTGTAATTTACCTGGGAGAAAGTCTACTCAGCACACAGCTGGGTTCTGTGTCTTACACTGAGTAAAACTAGGTGTGGTGCTTCATCCATAATCCCAGCCCTCAGGAAACAGAGGCAGGAGGATCACAACTTTAAGGTCATCCTCAGTTTACATAGCATACTTCAGATAGGCCTGGGATACATAAGACCCTGTTTCAAAATCAAACCAATTAATTATTTAATTTAACTTAATACTGCCTCAAGAAGAGCACATGCTATGTGGAATCATCTGGGAGGATGGGTGCCAGGCTGTTTACAGCAATTATTATTGAGAGACAAGACTTTAAGAAGGATGGCTTCCCATGTTCTTGTACGTACAGTGCTTAAGAAATTTTAAATGGGTTTCAGGATTGCTCTTGCAAAACAAACAAATACAAAAGGTTTAAACACCCAGTTGTGTTTCACTGGGTTGAGCCAAAGTCTCAAGACGATATAGATTTCCATATTGGGTCTCCTAGCAACAGTACAGGGTCTGTCCTAGGTTTCTATCAGTGTGAAGGGACACCATGAGCATGGCAACCCTTATAAATGAAAACATTTAACTGAGGCGGTGTCTTACAGTGTCAGAGGTTCAGTCCATTCTCATCATGGAGAACATAGCATCTGGGATTACGGCAGGCAGGGGGATAGACACAGTACATCTTGATCCAAAGGCAACAGGAAGTGAACTGAGACATTGGGTGGTATCTTGAGTATATATGAGACCTCAAAGCCCGCCTCCACAGTGACATACTTCCTCCAACAAGACCACACCTACTTCTACAAGCCCACACTTCCTAATAATGCCAAATTCCCTTGGGGGGCATTTTCTTCCAAACCCCCACAGGGTCTCTTTTCTCAGAGGTGCTGACATAGGCAATAGCAACAACTGTACGGACAAAAGACAGGTACTTGGTCCCTGTGTAACAGCTGTGAGAATTCTAATACTATGCAATGCAACTCATGCAGCAAACTAGAGTGATACATATTTTAAAGATTTATTTATTTTTTTAGTTTATGTTTAAGGATGTTTTGCCTGTATTGTGTAGCACGAATAATAAAAATCTAGAGATGGATATTGGGATTCAAGCTGAAGATCAGAGAAGCAAAGTGGTCAGCCACTGGCTCTTACAGCTACCTCAGACCGAAATGTGCAATCCTGACTCCAGGAATCTTCAAACTGAGACAGCACTGTGTCTCCACCAATTCTCAGACTCCACACTCCAGTGAGCTCCTGTTTCTTCCTCTTTATATTCCTCTCTCTGCTCAGCCATAATGCTCCTGTCTCCACCTTCCTAGCGCTGGGATTAAGGGTGTGTGACCCCGAAACACTGGAGTTAAAGGTGTGAGCCACCACCACCTGTATCTGCTTCTGGATTGATCCTGTGTAGCTCAGGGTAGCCTTGAACTCACGGAGATCCGTCTGCCTCTCTCTCCCAAATCCTGGGATTAAAGCTGTGTGCCACCACTCCCTGGCCTCTAGTGGCTTACCTTTGCACTCTGATCTTCAGGCAAGTTTTATTTATTAAATACAAACAAAAATATCACTACAAGATTATATCTATAAACCACCTGCAAACATTGACTATTGGGGTGAGAAGAGGGTGTCGGAACCCCTGAAACTGGAGTTACAAATGATCATTATGTAGGTGCTGGGAACTGGACTGTGATCCTCTGGAAAAGCAGTCAGTGATCCTAACTGCAGAGCCAACTCTCCAGCCTCACTTTAGAGCTATTTTAACTCACAAATGGCTCATGGGTTCAAATACAAACAAAACATCAGTCTTCCTACTGTTCTATTCCAGCTCGTACTCAGAGTGTGCTGGAGTGTGTAGCAGTGATTGAGCCTCAAGTATTTGTGGGATGCAGTTAAGTGCTCAGCACTGAAATTATGTAAACCACAGACAGCCACTTCCCGGGCTAGCAGTGACTGAAATGAAAGTCCCTGTCTTCCGCTTCCTTTTATTTCCCTCTTCAAGTCACTTGGACCTAAAGAACTTTTTCCCTGCCCAGCCTGTCTTGCATTTGTCACCAAAGTGACAAGAGGTCACCCAGGAGTAGTTTTGGGCCCTCGATGCCACTTCCCACTGAGACCCGAGAAAGCCTGTTTCTGCGTTGGAGCAGTACTGAAGATGAGAAGGAGCTAGAGAGAAAAGGTTTGGCAGCCAGGATGTGACCTCATTTCTTTAATTAGGTTTTGCAAGTTTAAGCTGTTGGTTGATCTAAAGAGTCTTTGGTGACCTCCTTCCTTCTGTGAGCCTTAGATTATAGAAAATTAGAGCCCACAAAGCTTTATATAGAATTCCAATTTTTTTTTGTAGTGAGGAAAATCTTAGAGAAAAGAAGCACAAAATTAGTGAAGAGCAAACAAAATTGCACTTAATCGTTTAAGTTAGAAAGTCATCTCTTCGTACCATTTGGCAAAACCCCAGTGATACTCATTTCAGGAAGATGCTGGAAATTGGCAAGCACAGAATGACAGAGATCAGTCATGGTGCATGTTCTATAGATAATTATAAGGGTGCACCTACTAATCACAGAGGAAGAGCCAGTGACTTCCCACTGGAGAGTTCTGGCAGACAG